TCTGCTCTCGGCGATCTCTCTGCTCTCGGCGATCTCTCTTCTCTCGGCGATCTCTCTGCTCTCGGCGATCTCTCTTCTCTCGGCGATCTCTCTGCTCTCTGCGATCTCTCTGCTCTCGGCGATCTCTCTTCTCTCGGCGATCTCTCTTCTCTCGGTGATCTCTCTGCTCTCGGCGATCTCTCTGCTCTCGGCGATCTCTCTGCTCTCGGTGATCTCTCTGCTCTCGGTGATCTCTCGGTTTGGTTGTCCTGAGAGTGGACACATGTGTGACGTAGATTGTCCTCTATAAGATGTCATATTTTTATTAAAGCCGAGCTCTGTGTCTTCCTGTCCGGGTGACCCCTTCCCTCCCTCCATTTCTTGTGTCACAGGAAGTGCAATAAGCCAGCGGGGAGGTTTCCTGTAGTCTGTCTCCAGTATAATGATTGTGTTGTATAAATGTCTGTTAAAGAGAACCTGTAGTGACAGGAAATGTAAAACGTTTTATTACAGATCAGCGTGCGTTGTACGGTGCCGGGAGCCGTGGGGGCCCCTGTACAGGCCTCAGTCCCGGATCTCCCTTCATATCCCCAGCGCAGATCTGAGCTGGCTGTGGTCACTGTCCGTGTGATATGCGGTCAGTGTCCGTGCGATATGCGGTCAGTGTCCGTGCGATATGCGGTCAGTGTCCGTGCGATATGCGGTCAGTGTCCGTGCGATATGCGGTCAGTGTCCGTGCGATATGCGGTCAGTGTCCGTGCGATATGCGGTCAGTGTCCGTGCGATATGCGGTCACTGTCCGTGTGATATGCGGTCACTGTCCGTGCGATATGCGGTCACTGTCCGTGTGATATGCGGTCACTGTCTGTGTGATATGCGGTCACTGTCCGTGTGATATGCGGTCACTCTCCGTGCGATATGCGGTCAGTGTCCGTGCGATATGCGGTCAGTGTCCGTGCGATATGCGGTCAGTGTCCGTGTGATATGCGGTCACTGTCCGTGTGATATGCGGTCACTGTCCGTGCGATATGCGGTCACTGTCCGTGTGATATGCGGTCACTGTCCGTGTGATATGCGGTCACTGTCCGTGTGATATGCGGTCAGTGTCCGTGTGATATGCGGTCAGTGTCCGTGCGATATGCGGTCACTGTCCGTGTGATATGCGGTCACTGTCCGTGTGATATGCGGTCACTGTCCGTGTGATATGCGGTCACTGTCCGTGTGATATGCGGTCACTGTCCGTGTGATATGCGGTCACTGTCCGTGTGATATGCGGTCACTGTCCGTGTGATATGCGGTCACTGTCCGTGTGATATGCGGTCACTGTCCGTGTGATATGCGGTCACTGTCCGTGTGATATGCGGTCACTGTCCGTGTGATATGCGGTCACTGTCCGTGTGATATGCGGTCACTGTCCGTGTGATATGCGGTCACTGTCCGTGTGATATGCGGTCACTGTCCGTGTGATATGCGGTCAGTGTCCGTGTGATATGCGGTCACTGTCCGTGTGATATGCGGTCACTGTCCGTGTGATATGCGGTCAGTGTCCGTGTGATATGCGGTCAGTGTCCGTGCGATATGCGGTCAGTGTCTGTGCGATATGCGGTCACTGTCTGTGCGATATGCGGTCACTGTCTGTGTGATATGCGGTCACTGTCTGTGTGATATGCGGTCACTGTCTGTGTGATATGCGGTCACTGTCCGTGTGATATGCGGTCACTGTCCGTGTGATATGCGGTCAGTGTCCGTGTGATATGCGGTCACTGTCCGTGTGATATGCGGTCACTGTCCGTGTGATATGCGGTCAGTGTACATGTATAAGAGCCGCGGATTTCACCAACCGGCCTGACCCAGCATGGCAGTTCCACCTTCCCGCCCAGCAGACACGTGATTGGCTGATCATACCGGTGCACAATGTTCCCGGGTCAGACACAATAGACCTGTGTGGGAAGGCTCTGATGGAAGCAGCCACTCCCCAGCTCAAGTGCAACATATATCCTGGCCCTGCCCTGGCCTGACATACAGCACAAGTTCTGTGCTTCCACCGCAGCCTTTTCACACAGGTGCATACAGTGCAGTGACCACGCAGCAGCCAATCAGAGCCTTTTGCTGCCCCCAGACACATGACAGACAAGAGAAGAGGCGGGACGAACATGACAAAACGTTTATTAAACCATGACATCAGATGAAGACAGAACAGAGCTGACCCTCCGGATCATGTGACTACCTGGAAGAAGTACGAACGCCCACAATGCACCTGGGTCTCTACCCGAACACAAGGCCCCGCCCCCTGCACACCCCGTTATTATAAATAGATTCTGAGCTCTAAATATTTACACTGGAAAAGGTTCAATTTACAAATAAATAATCATAAAATCTGATGGAGAAAAGGCACCTCGTCCCCCCGCCCCTCCCCCCAACGCTCTCTGATATGGCTGTGCCCTGGCTGGGAACACCCCCGCGGAGCACCCTGTGTAATATCCCATCCCCCCCACCAGCCATCTCTGTGTCACCTGTACATCCATGGGGCGGAGCTGCCTGCTGTGACTCCACCCTCTCATTTACATACAGTGTACAGAGAGAACCTTCATCTGATATATAAATCATAACCACAGGATAAACTCCGCCCCCAGGTCACATGATTATAATGAGGAGTTAAAGGCCAACTTCAGCCACAGCCAGCAAGGGTCAGTGGCAGGTTTTTCCCTATGGCGATTTACCCTCACTTCCTGTCTGCACAGGAAGTGACGGGAAATCTCTTCCAGAAACAAAACCAAATATCACATTTTTGGACAGTGATGAAGGGGGAGGAGCAATGACAATGTTGTGCCGCCACCCACCTCGGGTGACAACCACTCACCAGTGAAGGAAATTCTCCCCAATAGGGCCAAAGGCACACAAAAAAAAAGCTGGCAATGAAGTGTAGCTCCTCCCACTCACACACTAAAAAATAATTGGCTGGAGTCAGGAATCTGATCCCAATAAAGCTAAACCTCGGGCAGGTACTACAACCCCCAACTTCTACAGCAGCGTTCACCCCTCCGTCACGTTCCCTTCCTGGTCTGCCCATACAGCGGCATAGAATGAGGTAAAGGGGTGGAGCTTATATCAGTGTATACTGACAGAAGGAGAGGGCAGAGTGGCGACTCATAACTGTGCTGCTCCCTCATTGTCCAATCAGCAGGCTGGGGGGCGTGTTCATGACTTGCTGTAGCTGCATTGGACTTCCCTGAGCTGGCTGTGCTGTCTGGCAGGTGTGCCATGATGACAGGACTGGCTGCACAGAATGACCCCCCC